TCCTTCCTCCCTTCCCTTCCCTTCCCTTCCCTTCCCTTCCCTTCCCTTCCCTTTCTCCCTCCCTCCCTCCCTGTGATTAGAATGCAGTATTGCAGGCTAATTCTGCTGGCTGCCAGCAGTTCAGTCCTGACTAGCTCATGTTTGACTCAGTCTGTCTTCCTTCCTTCCTTCCTACCTACCTTTTAATATCCCTCCCTCCCTTCCTTCTCTTTAATCTTCCTCCCTTCCTCCCTCCTTCCCACCCCTTTAACTTTCCTTTTCCCCTCTCTCCCTCCCTCACTTCTTTCCTCCTTCTGTGATGCTGCAGTGGTTAGTACTGCAGGACTAACTCTGCCGACTGCCAGCAGTTTGATCCTGACCGGCTCAAGGTCAACTCCGCTTTCCATCCTTCCGCAGTGGATCAAATGAGGACCCAGATGGTTGGGGGCAAGAGGCTGACTCTGTAAACCACTTAGAGAGGGCCATAAAGCAGTATATAAGTCTAAGGGCTATGGCTACTGCCTCCTCTCCAGATGAAACCAACATACCGCCGTGACCAGCAGGGCCGGTCGCCTCCCGAAGGAATCCGAGGCAGCTCCGGTGAGTGGTGAGGCCAGAAATTGAAGCAGAGAAAACAGAGAACCGATGAAACCTGGAAGAGAAGATCAGAAGTGGAGATGCCCCGTTGGTTGCAAGCCGTCTTCTGCCTACTGACCCCAACTTAAGTTTACCTCATTTTTTTCCCCACCACTAAGGAATGTGTTTAAAGCAGGGGTTGTCCAACCTTGGCAACGTTTAAGACCGGTGGACTTCCAACTCCCAGAATTCCAAAAAATTTGGGGAAAATTTGCTGGGGGAATTCTGGGAATTGAAGTCCACCAGTCTTAAACAGTGCCGAGGTTGTAATCTTTTTTAAATAATGAAATCGGAGTGTTTGAGTTGTCCCGCAGCGAGTTGGCGGTGGCGAATTGTCCTATTCCATGCTGTTGCGTGTCAACTCCTAACACATTTTGTATACACGTTTTATAGTTGAAAACAGAAAGAAGTGGGGTGGCGGGGGCGGGTTCAAAGAGTAGGTGGCGATGTGGAATCGAAAGTGCATTCTGTTCATATTTTCTTCAAAGACTGATTGGATGACTGAAGCTTCTGCTGCGCATAAATCTAATTGGAGAGCAGGATCAATGACTCTTGGCTATGGACGTGTTTCGTTGGATGATACCCCCAGAGGGGTGGGGGTGGGGGGGAAACAGGATCAAGGGTGACAGTGAATTACGTATCTGAGTCGGCTACGCCCAGGCTAATGCCGGAATGTTAACTTCTAATAAATCCATTTTAGTTTTGGGAGTGTGGCTCGAGGCTCATGATTTAATTGGAGTAACTGCCAGAATCCTGACATTGGGTTTCCCCCTCTGTGCCCTGCAGTCTCACCAGCTCTTGGGACACCAGAGAGGGCGGCGGGGGGGGGGGGGGGGGGGGCAGGGTTGATTACCAATCTGGCCAGGGGCCTCTCTCCAAGTCTCCCAAATGCCAGGCAGAGGTTTTCCTCCAGACTGGACGCCCAACGGGGGCCCCGCCCTGCAATAAAGGGAATTTCCTACCTCCAAACAAGACACTGTTGTACTTCCTTTCTGGTGGAATGCCAAGGCTGCCACTGAACCAGTCCACGCCGGCTTGCACCCTCCCGTAGAGTCCATCCTGGGGAAGAAAGGAAGTGAATTGGGCAAGGGAGGGGAGGGGTTAGGGGAGCCACCTCCAGCCCCCCGATTCCTTTCTGCCAGAATTCTTTTGGTATTTACTGTCAGTTTTCCAGTGTTTGAGGGGCTGCCCCAAAGAAGAGGGGGGGGGTCAACCTAACCCCCCCCCCCGCTCCTTTAACCTCAAACTAACCTCTGTTGACCTCACCCCATTCCTAAGAGGTCTGTAAGGGGGTGTGCATAAGTGCACCATCGTTCCTCCCGCCCCTGTCCTATTGTCCCCATTTATTTGTACCTGTTTCCTGTATTCTTACTCATGTTTATACTTGTACCTATTATCTTGTAAGTGATTGGCCAATCACCTCAAATAAATAAAAAATAAAATAAAATAAGGAAGGTTAGTTTAAGTTTAAGAAAGGGAGGAAAGAAGGAAGGAAGGGGAAGGAAGGAGAACAGGGAAGGGGAAGGAAGGAGAGAAAAGAAGCGAGGGAGGAGAGAAAAGGGAGGGAGTGGGAGGAAGGAAGGAAAGAAGGAAGGAAGGAAGGAAGGAGAACAGGGAAGGGGAAGGAAGGAGATAAAAGAATGGAAGGAGGGAGGAGAGAAAAGGGAGGGAGTGGGAGAAAAGAAGGAAGGAAGGAAGGAAGGAAGGAAGGAAGGAAGGAAGGAAGGAAAAGGAAAGGAAAGGAAAGGAAAGGAAAGGAAAGGAAAGGAAAGGAAAGGAAAGGAAAGGA